CATGCTGGCTCAGGAATTCTGGGAGTTGAAGTCCACGAGTCTTGAGGGGGCCATAGTTCCCCCATGCTGGCTCAGGAATTCTGGGAGTTGAAGTCCACCAGTCATGAGGGGGCATTAGTTCCCCCCTGCTAGCTCAGGAATTCTGGGAGTTGAAGTCCATGAGTCACGAGGGGGCCGTAGTTCCCCCATGCTGGCTGAGGAATTCTGGGAGTTGAAGTCCACGAGTCATGAGGGGGCCGTAGTTCCCCCATGCTGGCTCAGGAATTCTGGGAGTTGAAGTCCACCAGTCATGAGGGGGCCATAGTTCCCCCATGCTGGCTCAGGAATTCTGGGAGTTGAAGTCCACCAGTCATGAGGGGGCATTAGTTCCCCCCTGCTAGCTCAGGAATTCTGGGAGTTGAAGTCCATGAGTCACGAGGGGGCCGTAGTTCCCCCATGCTGGCTGAGGAATTCTGGGAGTTGAAGTCCACGAGTCATGAGGGGGCCATAGTTCCCCCATGATGGGTCAGGAATTCTGGGAGTTGAAGTCCATGAGTCATAAAAGAGCCGAGGTTGCCTACCCCTGCCTTAACCCAATTACATAACCTACGATGGACTGAGAATCAACGTCTCTGCTAGATAACCGACAGTCAAGCTGAAACTAAGCTAATCAAGTCATCACAGCAAACGGAGGAAAATCTTCCACTCCAACTTCCTCAAACAAGTTTACCCAGACCTAATCCACATACCAAAGGACAGAGTTAATTAAATTGGTCTCCCCGCGGGACCGAATGTTCACAAAAATAAACCTCGATACACCCATTGCCCTCAAGGGTCACCCTAGAATCAGCAAGTATATTCTTCCACATTTAGGACAAGCTCCCCTATAAAACAGTGTCTCTGTACCCCACTTGCCTGCAGCTGCCCCCTTTGGTTTTGGGAATAAATTATTTCTCCTTTCCTCACAGCTGTCAGGATTTGATTTGTATTTCTTACTGCGCAACCACAACTCAAGTTGGAACCCCAAATTATTCTTCTGACACTGGTCACCTTCTTCTTCTCTTTCCTTCCACTTTTCCCAACTATATGAACTTCTCAAAGTCTTGACTTTGATTGATCGTGCCATCACGTCACTCTTGACTGTCCCAAAGGACCTTTTTTCAGGAGATAACTGGACTTTCTTGTTTTTCTTTTGAAGACGTTTCGCTTCTCATCCCAGAAGCTTCTTCAGGTTCTGACCGAATGGTGGGGAATGGGAGGATTTATACTCCTTGCAGACAGCTGCTACTTTGCCTTCTTTTAGGGCAGTGATGGCGAACCTTTTAGAGTCCGAGTGCCCAAACTGCAACGCAAAACCCACTTATGCATCGTCGGGTGCCGAGTGGGCGTGGCCCATTGGGTGGGTGTGGCCCATTGGGTGGGCATGGCTGTGGTGGTAACAGCACACTGGGTGGGACTAAAAAGTTCAATCAATCAATTCCAACTTTGCAAGATCTTTTTTTTCCCCGCGAGAAGTTGAAATGGACTGATTGATTGAACCTTTTTTTTTTTTTTGCACACAGCAGCAGAGGCCTAAAGTGAAAAGGTTTTATAAAACCCAGCTGAAGGCCGAGGACTGGGGCGAGGGCGCGCGTGCCCACAGAGAGGGCGCTGAGTGCCACCTCTGGCACCCATGCCATAGGTTCACCACCACTGTTTTAGGGAGTCGTTGAGGCCACTTGGAGACTTATCTGTGTCCTCAGGGTCACCTGAATGGTGCAAATGAGTGGGCTGCAGGATGTCTTCTGCCCTGGTCCCTTCACTGTTCCCCACCATCCAGTCAGAACTGAAGAAGCTTCTTGGATGTGTCAAGTTCACTTGAGTGGTGCAAATAAAGACAAACCTCCTAGTGGCCTCAACGCCTCTCTAAAAGAAGGCAAATGACCAGCTGTCTGCAAGGAGTATAAACTTTTCCTTCCCCACCATCCAGTCAGAACCTGAAGAAGCTTCTGGGATGAGAAGCGAAACCTCTTCAAAGAAAAACGAAGAAAGTCCAGTTGCCTCTTGAAAAAACCCCTTTGGGACAACCAGGACCTGGGTGACTGAGAACCTCCATAGACATTTAGACATGCATTTTGGGATGGACACCCTTCGAAGGGTGCGGGAACATGAACGGATGTCCAGAAAATATTGCAGAGCGCAGGAACCATGTGCGCTACAGTTGGAGATGCAGACAACACAGACTCATCCCCATCATCCTGCGCTTGTCTCCAACCGCGAAGGGACCCAGGGCAGAAAACATCCTGCAGCCCAGAAGGCTCCCCACCCATTCGCACCACTCAGCTGACCCTGAGGACACAGGTGAACCTCTAGGTGGCCTCAAGGATTCTCTGAAAGAAGGCAAAGGACCAGCTCTCTGCAAGGAGTATAAATCCTTCTGTTTCCCCACCATCCGGTCAGAACCTGAGGAAGCTTCTGGGATGGGAAGTGAAACCTCTTCAAGGAAAAACAAAAAAGTCCAGTTGCCTCCTGAAAAAAAAAAAGCACCTTTGGGACAACCAGGAGCTGAATCTCCATAGACCAGGGGTAGTCAACCTTGGCTCTTTTATGACTCATGGACTTCAACTCCCAGAATTCCTGTGCCAGCCACGGTGAGGGGAAAGGGAGAGGTTTCCAAGCTGAGCCATGCTGGCTCAGGAATTCTGGGAGTTGAAGTCCACCAGTCATGAAGGGGCCGTAGTTCCCCCATGCTGGCTCAGGAATTCTGGGAGTTGAAGTCCACGAGTCATGAGGGGGCCATAGTTCCCCCATGCTGGCTCAGGAATTCTGGGAGTTGAAGTCCACCAGTCATGAAGGGGCCGTAGTTCCCCCATGCTGGCTCAGGAATTCTGGGAGTTGAAGTCCACGAGTCATGAGGGGGCCGTAGTTCCCCCATGCTGGCTCAGGAATTCTGGGAGTTGAAGTCCACGAGTCATAAAAGAGCCAAGGTGGCCTACCTCTGCCATAGACAGCCAGGAGATTCTTGGGAACTGAAGCCACCAAGGAGACCCGACTCGCTCGTTGTGTGTTACCGGCAGTCCTCAACGTACGGCCGCCTCGGAGCCCAAAATTTCTGTCGCTAAGTGAGACAGCGGTTAAGGGAGCTTTGCCCCATTTTTTTTGCAAGCTCGCTTGCCACGGTTGCTAAGCGAATCACCCCAGCTGTGAGCCACACACGGCTGTTAAGTGAATCTGGGATCCTCCGGGTCACTGCGACCGTCCTAAAGTGAGTGTCGCGGTTACGTGAACCGCCGCAGTCGTTAAGCGAGCAACAGGGGGTTATTAAGTGAATCCGGCTTCCCCCATTGGTCAGAAAAAGGGGATCGCGTGACCGTCACAAAGCGAGTCAGTCGCCAAGCGTTGGGTCACCTGAGGGTGGGAAGGCTGCGACGGTCGTAAGTGCGAGGACCGGTCATAAGTCGCTTTTTTCGGCCACGGGGTAACTTTGGGCAGGTCACTAAGCGAAGCGTTGTAAGTCGAGGACTGCTGGACCCGGCCCAGGCAAGCCAATTCTCCCCAGGGACGAGCTCCGAGACCCCCATCAAGATGAAGCCTTTCGGAGCCCCCCCCCTCAAATAAGCCCCTGGGGGCCTCTTCCTCAGCCCCCTCCCCGCCACCACCCTCGCCCCCCCCTCCAGGACCAGCCGGGGGGGGCGCTCGGCTCCCCTGCAGCCCGGCCTGGGGATGATGGGGCCGGTGGTGGTGGAGGGGGCTGGCTGGCGGCCCTCTTACGCGGCGGTTGCGGCTCGCTGGCCTCCCCCGGCGCCGCTCTCTCACCCTTGCGGAGCTCGCGGTGCCAGACGACGACGATGGGCCCGGCGTGCTTGCGGTGGTGGATGAGCCACAGGCTCAGCGTCTGCACGCTCTGCTGCGAGTTGCTCAGCTCCGAAAGCTTCCGCTCCAGCGCCGACTCCGAGAACGACGACATGGCGGGACCCGCCGCCGCCGCCGCTGAGACTCGCCCGCCCCGCCCCGGCCTGGCTGGACCGGGCCCCGGCCTCAGGGGCGACCAACCGCCACAAAATGGCCGCTCGCCCTTTCACCCCGGCGCCGCCGAGGGTCAGGGGGCGGCATGCTACGGGTCGCCGGAGGGAGTCAAGCGGCGGAGCAGACGAGGAGCAGGACGAGGAGAGGGAGGGGGGGGGCGCCGGCACGCCGAGTTGCCAAGTGACGGCGGGAGTTCGCGAGCGCCGAGAGCCACGCCTGCGCGGTCCGCTCCGGGAAGGGGCGCGCCTGCGCGGTCCGTACCGCGCGCGCTCGCGCCGGCTGCCCGAGCGACGCCTCCGGGCATGCGCGGCCGCTCGCGCAGGCGCCTTGAGGGGTCGGGGAAAAAAAGGTAAGGGGGCGCGTCTCCCCCTCAGGTGGGGCCCGTTCTCCGCTGAGGGCGCTGCCCGGCCGCCCCTACCGGGCCTGGGGGGGGGCCTCTCCCAGGAGGGTCCCCGGGCTCTGGGTCGGAGCTAGGGGCCTAGGAAGGCCCCGTGGGGGAGGCCGCCCAGGTACGGGGTGCTTAAGACTAGAAGTCCGGAGTTCGAATCCTGCCCCCGGGCAGGAAAGCCGGCGGCCTAGTCACTTTGGGCCTAGTCCCCCTCCCTCTCCGCCCGGCCCACCTCACAGGGTTGTCGTGAGGAAAAGAGGAGGCGTACAAGTCGTCCCCCACTTACGACCACCATGGAGGCCGTTGCTAAGTAAGGCGGTTGTTAAACGAGTCTCGCCCCCGTTTGGTGACCTTTTTTTTGCCACATGGACGCCTGAATCGCTGCAGTTGTTAAGTGAATCATACGGTCGTTAACCGAATCTGGCTCCTCCCTCCCCCCTCCAATTGGCTTTGCTTGTCGGACACCAGCTGGGAAAGTCACAAAAAGGGGGAATCACGTGACCCCCGGACACGGCGACAGCCCCCGCGGAGAGGGCCCGCAACCTGGGCGTCCTCCTGGATGCTCGGCTGTCTTTAGACGATCATGTGACGGCCGTGGCCAGGGGGGCTTTTCATCAGGCTCGCCCGGTACGCCAGTTGCGCCCCTTTCTGGATCGGTATGCCCTACGCACGGTCACTCAAGCCCTCGTTGTTTCCCGCCTGGACTATTGCAATGCTCTCTACATGGGGCTCCCCTTGAGGTGCACCCGGAGGCTCCAGCTAGTTCAGAATGCGGCCGCGCGGGGGATCCTGGGGGCCTCTAGATGCTCCCATGCAACACCTCTCCTGCGCGAGCTGCACTGGCTGCCGGTGGCCTTCCGGGTGCGCTTCAAGGTGTTAGTAGCAACCTTTAAAGCGCTCCGTGGCAATGGACCTAGGTATTTGCAAGACCGCCTCCTACCAAACACCTCCCTTCGGCCAGTCCGCTCCCACAGAGAGGGCCTCCTTAGGGTGCCATCGGCCAGTCAATGCCGGCTGGCGACCCCCAGGGGGAGAGCCTTCTCTGGGGCAGCTCCTGCCCTCTGGAATGACCTACCCCCCCCGACCTACGTACAGTTGCGGACCTGCGCCTCTTCCGCCGAGCCTTGAAAACCCATCTATTCCGTGCGGCCGGCCTGGCGTAGTTTGGATTGTGTTTCAGTGGGGGGTTTTGTATGGGTGTGTTTTTAGAACAGGCCTATTATTTAATTCGATTTTAAAACAAACTATTTATTTATTATCGTGGTTTTTAGTATCGCCTGTTCACCGCCCTGAGTCCTGTAAGGGAGATAGGGCGGTATATAAATTCAAATAATAATAATAATAATAATAATAATAATAATAATAATAATAATAATAATAAATAATAATAAAAAATACGAGTCAGTTGCCAAGCGTCCGAAGTTTGATCACGTGACCCTGAGTGTGAAGCCTACCATAAGTCACTTTTTTTCAGGGCCGTTGTAACTTTCAGTGGTCACTAAACGAATGGTTATAAGTCGAGGACTCCCCCTATTAGGTATGTCCACTGCCTTGAGTTATTTATTTATAAATAAATAAATAAAGGCGGGATGTAACTGAAATCAATAAAAATGTCCTTTTTTTTCTCTTGCTGGCAGGATGGACGCCGAAGGAAGATGAGAGCGGGGGGCCGCGGCAGCCATGGCCATTTTCGACACCCCCCAGGAGGCCTTCGGAGCCCTCCGCCCCGCCTGCGTCCAGCTGACCAAGGCCCAGACGCTGGAGAACGTGGAGCGCCTCCGCTCACAGCTGCAGGCGGTCAGCGACTCGGCCCTGCAGGAGCTCCAGGAATACGTCCTTTTCCCTTTGAGATTCGCCCTCAAGACCCCTGGGCCGAAGCGGGAAGGCGTGCTCCGAAGCGTGGTGCAGTGCGTCGGCTTTGTGCTCTCGGCCACCTGCGTGAAGAAGGCGGATCTCCTCCTGGAGCTCTTCTCCGAACTCTGCGTCTGCCTGGCGTCCCCCTCCGGCCCAGCCCAGCTGGCCCCGTCGTCGGAGGAACTGAAGCAGGACGTGGCCCAGGCGCTGCTTGCCTTGCTCCACTCCGCTTACGGAGGCGTCCTCCTGTCTCTCTACCAGCCTTCCAGCCTTCCCCAGCTGGGCTTTGCCGTGTCCCTGCTTTTGGGCCTTGCCGAACAGGAAAAAGCCCGGCAGGTTAAGATCGCCGCCTTGCGGTGTCTGCAGGCTCTCCTTCTGCAGTGTGACTGCCCACAGGGTCACCAGTCCCTGGAGAAAGAGGAGATGAGGCAATGTGGGGATCTCTTTGCCTCCTTCCTCCCCGGTGTCTCCATTGCTCTCTCCAAGGTGATCACAGGAGATGTGAAGCAAGGTCACGCCGTGGTGGTCTCGGCCGTCAGGCTCTTCTCTAGGGCCGTCAGTCTGGTGATGGCCGATGAGCAGCTAGCGCAGATCCCAGAGGAGAGGCAGAAACCAGCCTCGGAACAGAGTAAAATACAGGCCCTCGGGGTCCACCGAGACTCGGACTGGGCGAGAAACACCGCCTCCAAACTCTCCATCCTTATCAAGAAGGTGGTTGGATCCGGGTCTGTTCATCCTCACTGGAAGGTGCGACGGGAGCTGGTGGACATGGCTCACCTCCTCCTGACGACCTGTGGACGCTCTTTGGTGGACTCGGCCGGCCAGTTGTTGAAAGCCTTAGTTGGCCTGGTGAACGATGAGAGCGCCGAGGTCCGGCGGGCGAGTGAGAAGGCCTTGGAGGATATCGCCGCACAGGAGAGCGTGGCCGGGAACAGGCGCCTGGCCGACCTCCTATCTGAGGATCTCCACTCTCTGGCCACTTCTCTGCCTCGCTTAATGACCTCCCAGAACGACCAAGGCAAGACAGCCACCTTAAACCTGGTCCTTGGCTACCTGAAGCTCTTGGGCCCGAAGGTGAGCCTGGTTCTCAACTCGGCCTCCCACCTCCAGCGTCTGTCCAAGGCCCTGATGCAAGTCCTGGAGCTGGAGGTGAAGGACGTGAAGGTAGTGGAGGAGAAGGGCGGCGCCCCGGAAGCCTTTCAGACGCCCTCGCCGGCCGGCCTCCAGAGGAAGTACTTCCGCTTCTTCACAGATGAGCGGATTTTCTCTCTCCTGCGGCAGATTTGCCGGGCTCTGGGCAGCCACGGGAATCTCTACCTGCTGGTGGATCACTTCATGGACCTGTACAGGGAATCCACTGTGTACCGGAAGCAAGCTGCGATGGTTCTCAACGAACTGATCGCTGGAGCCGCAGGGCAGGAGGCGCGGAACGCTTCGCTGAGCTCGGAGGATCTCGTGGGGATCGTCACTTCCGTGCTGGAAGAATATGTGGACTCGGGGAACTGGCATTTGGTCACCAGCTCGGAGGGCCAAGAATCTTGGGCTGAGCCCGCAGATGCCAGACCCCTTGCTGTGACGTACGAAGCGTCTTGGGGACCTCTGCCGTCCCTGGGATCGAGCCCCAGCATCCGCTGTATGAACAGCAACATATGGCAGATCTGTGTCCAGCTGGAAGGGATCGGCACTTTTGCCTCTGCCCTGGGGAAGGACTTCCGTTTTCTGTTGATCTCCGCTTTGTACCCCGTCCTGGAAAAGGCCGGGGACGGCACGCTCCTGGTCAGCCAGACTGCCAAGGGGACCCTGGCCGGCATCTGCTGGGCCTGCGACTACGTCTCCGTCCCTGAACTCCTCAGGCAGAACGCTGATTACTTGGTGAACGAGATTTCCTTGCGTCTCAGGCACCCGGCCGAGGAGGCCCAGGCCTTGCGGGTGCTGGAGGCCATGCTCCGACATGCGGACGCCCGGGTGGCCCCCTTGGTGGAGGACCTGGTGGAAGACGTTTTGGCCAGGTTGGATCAGGGCCACGGCGAACGGGCACCATCCTTCCTGGGGGCTCTCCGGACCCTGATGGCGTCACTAGGTAAACTACGAATGAATGGTTGGGAAGGGTGTTCGGAATGCCTGAACTTCAGAACTTGCTGCTGGTTTTACCCTTAAGATAAACTCACATTTCCAGCCCTGTTAGCCTTCCGCGTCTGTTGGACTTCAGTTCCTATGTTCCCCAGCCAACGCAGGTAGTCCTCAATTTGCAACTGGTTGCTTAAGGCAGAGGTCCGCAACCTTTTGGGCACCAGGGACGGGTTCCGTGTAGAGAGGTTTTTCCACAGACCGGAGGGTGCATGGTTTTGTGTGCTGCCTGCATCCCGCGGATGGGTCTCTGCTTGTTTGTGTGGACTGGTTGCTGGCATGCCACAGCCCGGTACTGGTCCACGGATCCAGGGGTTGGAGACCCCTGGCTTAAGGTTAATGTTTAAAGTTAATGACCAATTTAAAAAAACTTACTTGCCACCAGTCCTCAGAATTTTGACTTCCACATTTCACACACACACACACACACACACTTGGCCACGTGATTGTATTTTGGGTGCTTGGCAGCTGGCTAGCATTGGCAACCGGTGGCAACACCCTGTGGCCACCTAATCGCGCTTTTAAATGTTTTTGCCCTTTTCTGACAAAAATGCCTGTTGGGCAAGCTGGATTTGGAGTTACAACCGTGTGATTTCCTTTAATGACTGTGTGTGTAACAACTGTGTGTAAAAAGAGTCATAAAATTAGTCCGGTCATATGGTAACTCGACTTACGAGTGCAGCCATTTACCGCCAAAATTTTGAGCTCTGTTGTGGTCGTAAGTTGAGGACTCCCTATATGATTCCGTGCTGGAATCCACCCACTTACGGATGTCCCAAAGGTGATTTTTTTTCAGGAGGCAACTGGACTTTCTTATGTTTCTTTGAAGAGGTTTCGCTCCTCATCCCAGAAGCTTCTTCAGGTTCTGACTGAATGGTGGGGAATGGAAGGATTTATACACCTTGCAGACAGCCGGTCCTTTGCCTTCTTTTAGAGAGTCATTAAGGCCACCTGGAGGTTTACCTGTGTCTTCAGGATCACCTGAGTGGTGCAAATACAGACAAACCTCCAAGTGGCCTCAACGACTCCAAAAGAAGGCAAATGACCAGCCATCTGCAAGGAGTATAAATCCTTCCCTTCCCCACCATCCAGTCAGAACCTGAGGAAGCTTCTGGGATAAGAAGCGAAACGTCTTCAAAGCAAAAAAAGAAAGTCCAGTTGCATCCTGAAAAAAGAAGCCCCTTTGGGACAACCAGGACCTAGATGGCTGTCCATAGACACTTACCTCTGGAGGGTATTGGGAAAGGTAGCAATAAACCAAAGGAGCAGTTAAGCCTGCTTTTATGTCTGACTGGGTTTAGAAGAGACCAGACCGGTTAGAAGAGCTAATTTGGCGTCATGCAGGGGTGTCCAACTTCGGCAACTTTTAAGACTTGCGGACTTCGGCGCCCAGAATTCCCCAGCCAGCATCGGAGTTGAAGTTGAGTTGAAGTCCACAGTTCTCGAAGTTGCCAAGGTTGGACACCCCCGGTGTAGTGGTTAAGGGTCAGGTTAGAAAACCAGAGGTTGGGAGTCTCCTAAGTTTTTCCCTTAGGCCTGAAGCCAGTTTGTGATCTTGACACAGTTCTTCTTCTTCTTGTGTCATATCCGTTATCGAACGTTGGCAATCATGTTGGCGATCCTGTTTTTATCAGCAGCTGCACGAAAAAGTGCTGCTGAGTTTTGTCCCAACCAGTCCCTTAGATTTTGAAGCCACGATGTTCTTCTTCTGCCTGGACCTCGTTTGCCTTCCATCTTTCCCTGGAGGATGAAATGGAGCGTGCCGTATTTCTCTGGGTGTCACATCACATGTCTGAAATATTCTGATTTTCGTTTTTTAATTGTTTTGATGATTTCCCTTGGCTTTCCTGGGCGGCTGATCCCCTCATTTCTGATCTTGTCAGCCCAGCTTCTACGTAACAGCCGCCTGTCAATCCACATTTCAAATGCTTCTAGTCTCTTCAGGTGGCCTTCGGTCAGAGACCAATTCTCTCTACACCATGGAGGAGGATAGAGAAAATATAGCATCTGACAAGCCTGGTTTTTGTCGCAGTTACTTCCCCTCCATCCTAGAAAGGGGGCAAGAACCAACCAGTTGCAAAAACCTTTTCAAGAAAACCCATTGGGACTTGTTCAGGAGTCAGAAACTTGAAAACACACACACACGCACAAAAGACTCAGATGGAATCGGCTACCTCATAGCTTAGCCTGGGTTCAGAGACCCCCTTTTATTTACTGACCATTTCTCAGATTCTTGGAAATTGGTTTGTTGGCTGGAGGTTGCGTGTGGTGTGAATATAGCCATTGTGTTTGTTTTAACTTGAGCTAAAGACTTTGTTCATTTGTTCATCACACGTGTATGGCTGCCCATCTTAATTAATGAAACTCTGGCCAGAGAACAGAGAAAGGTGTTACTTAACCTAGTTGGCTTCCAGGTGGAATTCAAGACGCTGGTCACCACCAATCAAGGCCTGTCTGGCATAAGACCCGGTTACTTGACGGACTGTCTGTCTACCGACTGAATTTTACCTGTCTGGTATGTTTGGACAGGGAGGGGGGGCTGTGGTCTAGGTCCCCTCAATTAAATGTGGCCTTTTGAGAGTGAGGAAACATACCTTCTCTGTCACAATCCGGCTTTCTGATCCAACATCCCTCCTCACCTGGGAGAGGTCGCCTCCCAATTTAAGGTTTGAATCAACAGCAAAAACGAGAGTCCCAAAGGTGCTTTTTCCAAAAGGAACTGGACTTTCATGGTTTTTTTCTTTTCCTTGAAAATATTTCACTTCTCATCCAAGAAGATGTTGTTGTTAGTTGCGAAGTCGTGTCCGACCCATCGCAACCCCATGGACCACATTCCTCCAGGCCTTCCTGTCCTCCACCATCTTCTGGAGCCCATTGAAGCTCCCGCCTGCTGCTTCAGTGACTCCATCCAGCCCCCTCCTTCTCTGTCCTCCCCTTCTTCTCTTGCCCTCCATCTTTCCCAGCATCAGGCTCTTCTCCAGGGAGTCCTTCCTTCTCATCAGGTGGCCAAAGTATTTGAGTTTCCACTTCAGGATCTGGCCTTCTCAAGAGCAGTCGGGGTTGATCTCCTCCAGGACCGACCTGTTGGATCGCCTTGCAGTCCAGGGGACTCGCAGGAGTCTTCTCCAGCACCAGAGTTCAAAGGCCTCCATTCTTTGGCGCTCGGCCTTTCTTACGGTCCAACTTTCACAGCCCCGAAACCCTGGCTGTGTGCAAGTGTGACTGAAGCCCTCTTTGCTTTTTTCTCTTTGTTCCCATCTGGATTTGTTCTCTCTCCCATCGTCGTTCTTTTTTTGTGTGTGTGCCGTTTCCTTAAATGCTTTCACATTTTGCAAACTGCCCAGAGTCCCTGAGAGTCAGATGGCACGTAAAATTATTATTATCGTCATCTGCACTAGACCAGAAAACGAGCAGCTGCTAACTACAAGCTTCGGGCTAGGCGTGTGTGCGAGAGAGAGAGAGGGCTGTATATCCATCTTCCACCTTTTTGTCCGGCCTGACAGTCTTGGTATTCTAAGCGCAGGTTTGTTTCTTGGCAGAAATGAGCTTGACCCACCTAGGCATTTTTATTTTACCGCCCTGAGTCCGGTAAGGAGAAGGGCGGGATATAAATCGAATAAATAATAATAATAATAATAATAATAATAATAATAATAATAATAATAATAATAATAATAATAATAATAATAATAATAATGATCAGATTTTTATCTCAGGGGTCCCCACCCCCTGGGCCGTGGCATATTTGTAGCCAGACCACGCGAGCGATGGGCAAGTGTGCACGCGTGAAGCTCCACTCACACGAGCGGAGGGCGCTGGTGGTCACACGTGAAGCTCCATCGGCATAAATGGAGCTTCACACTGCTCGTGCGAGTGGAGGGGGACGATCGAGAGCATCCTGTCCTACAGCATCCCAGTCTGGTTTGGAGGCATCCCTGCTTCAGACAGGAAGGCGGTGCAGAGATTGGTGAGGACGGCAGAAAAGATCATTGGCAGCTCCCTCCCTCCCATCCAGGACGTAGCACAGAAGCGCTGCTTGAGCAGGGTCCGTAAGATCATCTGGGACACGACACATCCTCTTCACAACCTGTTTTCCTTGTTCCCTTCTGGGAGGAGGGGGGCTCCGTGGTATCCGAGGCAGAACCTCCAGATTCAGCCATAGTTTCATCCTATACAGCATTCACCTTGCGAACTCTCAAGCTTCCTCCTTCCGTTATATATTCAAGATAGACAGTATTTAATATTGATTTGCTACGTATAGGTAGGGGTGTGGGTCTATACCTATGTTGTGTTGTTCGTCCATCGATTTTCGATGAAGACCTTGACATCTTGTGGATTGTGGGCCATCAACGGTGTGTCCGTAGATGGCTGATGACACCGATGTTAGCACGGAATGTTCTGCCACATACTGAACAGAGAAATGTGGACACTGTTGCTTCAGCATACTATGTACAACCTATGTTGTACATAGTATGCTTAGGTGTGTGTCATGTATGTGTTTCACTTTGAGAGCGGGCAAACTAAAATCCATTTTTGACGGGTGCCGTTGTGCCCACGGTAAAAAAAAAATGACAATAAAGATATATCTTACCTTCCACTCAACAAGCAAAGCTCCATTCGCACAAGTGGAAGGTGCACACACAGGCGTGCTGCTCACACCAATGGAGCTGTGTGCGCCTGCCACTCACACACCCCTGCGCCGGGCCTCCCAGGTGGCAAAGTTGCGGCCCGCTGTTCTACACCACCCGCCTCACTTACATGACTGGGCAGTTTTACAAATAAAAACAGAATAACAAAGTTGGAAGGGACCTTGGAGGCCTTCTAGTCCAACCCCCTGCTCAGGCTGGAGACCCTGGACCGGGGGGGGGGGTGCACAAAGAAGCAAAGCCCCATCCACGAGATGCAGGCAGCACACAAAACTACACCCTCTCTCCACACAACCAGTCCCTGGTGCCCAAAAGATTGGGGACCTCTGCCCGAGACCATTCCAGACCAGTGGCTGTCCAATCTCTTCTTAAAGACCTTCAGTGTTGAAGCCCCCACAACTTCTGGAGGCAAGCCATTCATTCCACTGATTCAGTGTTTCTCAACCTTGACCATTTTAAGGCATGTGGACTTCAACTCCCAGAATTCCACAGCCAGCATTGCTGGCTGTGGAATTCTGGGAGTTGAAGTCCACATGCCTTAAAATGGTCAAGGTTGAGAAACACTGCACTAATTAATTGTTCTCACTGTCAGGAAATTCCTCCTTATTTCTAGGTTTGTTCTCTCCTTGATTAGTTTCCACCCGTTGCTTAAGATGCCAAGTTTGGGGTCTCCTGCTTGAGCAGGGGTTGGGCTAGAAGACCTCCAAGGTCCCTTCCCAACTCTGTTACTCTGATGTGGACGAACTAGAGGTTGGTCTGAAATTCTCGCTGCTGGCCCATCCCATCGTTGATCCAGGGAGGCCCAAATGCATTTTTCCTCCTCTTGGCAGTTTCCTGGTTTGAGCCGGAGCGGCAAACCCACCACGAGCCGGACGGTGGTCCTTCCTGCCGGCCGGCACAGAGGCCGCCCAACCTGCCCACCCCAGCAGAAATGGAAGAGTTCTTTTCAGCCTACGTGAAGCAGAAGCGGATTGCAGAGGGGGATGTCGAGGAAGAGGAGGAGGAGGAGGAGGAGGAGGAGGAGGAGGAGGAGGAGGAGGAAGGTGGGTAGATCCAGAAAGGTCTGTGGCTGGACAGGAGGATGGGCAATGCTCACACAGCCATTGGCAAAGCTGGCCATGCCAGCTTCCCTTCCGCCCCACCGGCTGTGCCCACAGCTCTGGCCTCTTGCCTCCCCAGAGGATCCTGCCGGGCGGTCCGAAGCACCAGAAGAGGCTCCTAAGGCAGAGAGGCCGTTGCCCTTGCAGGCCCAGATGGCTAAAGATGTCCTGGAGAGGGCCATCCACCTACTCCCCAGCAAGAGCCTTGCGGTGCGGCTGAAGGTAAGGGAGGCCGAGATTTCTTTTATTTCCACACTTAGTATTTCCTCTTTTTTTTTTTTTTGTCCTCTTTATGTCTCCTATCTCATATTTGAGACTTAATAATTTTTAACCTGTTAGTATGCATCCAGTTTTGGTCCCCACGACGTAAAAAAAGATTTGTGCAAAATGGTGTAGGGTTTCCTGCCTGAGCAGGGGGTTGGACTAGATGACCTCCAAGGTCCCTTCCAACTTTATCCCCACTCCCTTCTAGCACTGATGATGTTCCCTAGTTGGATCATGAAATGTCTGTAAGAAAGCAATCCATCACAGAGGCCACTAAGGAACCCACATTTCAACCCTGAGCCACATATTCGTACACTACGAATGAGAGACCCAGTCCTCTGTTTCCCCAACATCATCGTTCGCCTCCCTTAATCCTGGCACAATTATCCTCTGACTCTGGAGCTTCTCCTGATAGGCCCTCGATGTCCTGGAACTCTGTCTGACGGTCCTTGGTCCACATGAAGACGTTCTCCTTCCACTGGCCCATCGGGCGTGGCCTGCTCTCGTGTGCCGCTTGATCAACGACGACCCCTTGGCTGTTCTCAGAGCCTTTAAGGTAAGGCAAAACTACGCATCCCATCCTAAGGCTGCAGGATCCCATCTGGGTCGGTCACGGGGACCAGAGGGTTAATAAAAACAATAACAAGAACAATAACAAGAACAATAACAATAGTAGTAGTAGTAGTAGTAATAATAATAATAATAATAATAATAATAATAATAATAATAATATGGACAGTATTTAATATTTGCTACGTATATGTAGAGATGTGGGTTTATACATATGTTGTTCATAGTATGTTTAGGTGTGTGTCATGTATGTGTTTCACTTTGAGAGCGGGCAACTAAATGTCATTTTTGATGTGTGCCGTTGTGCCCACAGTAAAAAAATGACAATAAAGGTTATCTTATCTTATCTCATCTCATCTTATCTAATAATAATAATAATAATAAGGACTTGATAGGTAGACAAAAATGCCAAATCCAGTCTGAACATCTGGCTGACTGTGCGATGATTAATAATAATAATAATAATAATAATAATAATAATGATGATGATGATGATGATGATGATGATGATGATGATGATGATGATGATGATGTTGGAAGATTTAGTCTTCTGAGCTTTTGGAATTCTGCTGGAGCCCAGCCTCAGGGAGAACTTTCTCCCTCCCTCCCTCTCTCTCTCTGTCTCTTTCTCTCCTCTCTCTCCCTCTCTGTCTCTCTCTCTCACTGTTTCTCTCTGTCTCTCCTCTCTCTGTCTCTTTCTCTTTTTCTCCTCTCTCTCTCTCTCTCTCTCTCTCTCTCTCTGTGTCTCTCTCTGTCTCCTCTCTGTCTCTCTCTCTCCTCTCTCCTTCTCTCTCTCTCTCTCTCTGTCTGTCTGTCTGTCTCTCTCCTCTCTCCTCCTCTCACCTCGTCTCTCCCTGTCTCTCTCCTCCTCTCTCTCTGTCTCTCTCTCTCTGTCTCCTCTCTCCTCCTCTGTCTCTCTGTCTGTCTCTCCTCCTCTCACCACCTCTCTCTGTGTCTCTCTCTCCTCTCTCCTCTGTCTCTGTCTCTCCTCTCTCTCCTCTCTCTGCTCTCTCCTCTCTCTCTGTGTCTGTCTCCTCTCTCCTCCTCTCACCTCCTCTCCTCTCTCCTCCTCTCTCTTTGTCTCTGTCTCTCCTCTGTCTCTGTTTCCCCTCTCCTCCTCTCTCTCTCTGTGTCTCTCTCTGTCTCTCTCTCTCCTCCTCTCTCCTCTCTCTCTATGTCTCTGTCTGTCTGTCTCTCTCCTCTCTCCTCTCACCTCCTCTCTCTCTCTCCTCCTCTCTCCTCTCTTTCTCTGTCTCTGTCTCTCTCCTCCTCTCTCTCTCTGTCTCTCCTCCTCCTCTCTCTGTCTCTCTCTCTGTCTGTCTCTCTCTGTCTGTCTCTCTCCTCCTCTCACCTCCTCTCTCCTTCTCTCTCTCTCCTTCTCTCTCCTCCTCTCCTCTCTGTCTCTCTCTCTCCTCTCTGTCTCTCCTTTCTCTTTCTCTCCCTCCTCCTCTCTCCCTCCTCTCTCCCTGGGAGAAAGGAGAAAGAAGCCCAGGGACCAGGAAGTGGATCACAGAACCCTGGCAAAGGGCTCTCTCCTTCCGTTCAGCAGGGGGGTCCTGTCTCGGGGGGGGAGGTGAGTGACCACCCGGTGGGCTTCTCCGCAGGTGCTGTGCACTCTGGGATCCTGCAGTGGGGACTTCCTGAGGAGCCGTTTCTGCAAAGACGTCTTGCCCAAGCTGGCGGCCTCCCTTGCCGCCCAGGCCCCCACCAGCGCCCACGCCGGGCCCATCTACAGCCACAGCCTGGCCTTCAAGCTGCAGCTGGCGGTGCTGCAGGGCCTCGGCTCCCTCTGCCAGGCTCTGGATCTGGGTGAGTAGCAGGAGTACCACACAACATTCCTGGCATCGTTCCAGGCTGAGGTTTCTATTCTGGCCTAGCATAGTTCATGCTGTTCCTTTAGAGAAGGGGGGTCCCCAATCCCCAGTCTGTGGACCAGTACCGGGCCACGGCCTGCCAGTAACCAGTCTGCACAAACAAGCAAAGCCCCATCTGTGGGATGCAGGCAGCACGCAAAACCACGCCCTCTCCGGTCCGTGGAAAATCTTTGCTCCAAGGAACCGGTCCCTGGTGGCCAAAAAGTTGGGGGCCTCTTCTTTAGGGGAGAGCAGGTCCTCTAGAGCAGGGGTCCCCAACTTTGGCAACTTTAAGACTTGTGGACTTCAACTCCCAGAATTCCTCAGCCAGCCAAGCTTGGCTGGCTGAGGAATTCTGGGAGTTGAAGTCCACAAGTCTTAAAGTTGCCAAGGTTGGGGACCCCTGCTCTAGATTGACGTCCCCGTTTTTTCCGGGAGGGGCAGGCATGCAGGAAGGTGCATCCACACGCACGAGTGGATGCTTGTGCGAGTGAGCCCGAGAGCACCCGCGATGCTCGTGCATGTGCACGCAACAGCCAACCACTCATGCAAATAGGCCACGATCCAGGGGTGGGCCATAACCCACAGGTTGTGGAAATGGGGGCAGGTGGGAGGGGGCTGTGGCTGAGCGCTCCCCCCTCTGAGCCACCCATCTTCACTGTCTCTGCAGGCGAGAATGACCTGAACACGGTGGTGGATGCCTGCCTGCCCTACCTCAGCGCCAGGCAGCCGGTGAGACTGCAGGAAGCTGCTCGCAGGTAAGACAGGTGTGCCCCGCAGGTGAGACAGGTGTGCCCTGCAGGTGAGACAGGTGTGCCATCTGCAGGTGAGACACATAGATAGATAGATAGATAGATAGATAGATAGATAGATAGATAGATAGATAGATAGATAGATAGATAGATAGATAGATAGATAGATAGATGATAGATAGATAGATATGGATAGATAGATGTTGTTGTTATTTGCAAAGTCATGTCTGACCCATCGCGACCCCATGGACAATGTTCCTCCAGGCCTTCCTGTCCTGTGACCTCCAGGTTTTCCTGTGACCCAGGGTGGTGTCTGGCAAATGACAACAACTGATACAGTTGATTTCCCACATCAATAAACAGTTGGTGATTCCAGTAGAAGACAATTTTTGTAGCCCAGAGGTTGAACTGTGGGCTCCTTGGGACTCCTTGACCTTGGTGCTTTTCTTGCAGCTGTTTCATGACCCAGCTAGATAGCATCATCATCATCATCAGTTGTTGTTGTTGTTAGTTGCGAAGTCGTGTCCGACCCATCGCGACCCCATGGACCATGTTCCTCCAGGCCTTCCTGTCCTCTACCATCTTCTGGAGTCCATTGAAGCTCACGCCTCCTGCTTCAGGGACTCCCTCCAGCCACCTACCTCCTTCTCTGTCGTCCCCTCCTTCTCTTGCCCTCTATCTTTCCCAGCATTCATCAGCCAGTGCAATGCCGCAAAGATGTTTTGGGAATGCTGAGGTGCTGGGCAGATAACAGGTCCTCCTCAAGAGGCAGCGACCTTGGAGTCAAGCTGGAACCGGCCATCTCACCTCCAAAGACGATTCCCCTCCCTAATTCCCAAGCGGTTACCGCAAAAGCGAAAGATGCCAGCAGACCTTCCTCTCCTACCCTCCCCGCCTTCCAACCGAACATCGGGTCTCCGCCTTAGCAGGCCTGAGCAAGCCCTAGCGCCCGGCTAAGCAAAGGCGCGCCGGAATCGACAACGCTTAACCGAGCAAAGCCAGAAGTGCAGGTTGGGTTCACCCTGGATTCTTTCACCATGGAAACACAGGTTGCTTGGAAACGGCCAGGGTCCTTATTTTTAAAGAAAGACGGCCAGCGGTCCAGTCGAGTTTTTCTTTTTTAAGCTTCAGAGGTTTCCAGGTGGACCCCCTCTTCTTTGTGGCAGCCCCTCAAATACTGGAAGGCTGCTGTCATGTCACACACACACACACACACGTTCTTTCCATTTAACTAGACATGCAGCTGCAGTGATTCACTCGCGGCCGGAGAGCTGGTAAAATGGGGCAAAAACTCACTTAGCAACGGAGGTTTTGGGCTCAGCTGTGGTCGTAAGCCGAGCGCTGCCTGGACACGAGATGCACATATGTACATAGAGCAGCCAGGTAGAATTGGGCCCGGAGGAGAGCAGAGCGTTCAGCCTCGTGTGTCATGATTGCCAAGCAGCTCCGGACGAATTTCCATCCGGCAGTCGCGTCGATTGGGCTGGCAGGGAAACCTCTTCCGTGCTCCCCGAATTGTCCCAATCAATTTAATGAAAGGAAGGCAATCTTATCTGGCAGGGTCACAAGACGCAGCCGGATTTCAAGCAGGCGTCCCGGGATAGAGCAGTTGAGGGTTGATTGATCGTCCAGGTTGTTTTTGACGCCGGCCGGCCACATCGGTGAATTTTCTCCACCGCCATCTGCCCTTCTTCACCTGTTGTTTTTCAGCTCTTCCCGCTCTGCTGGGGGGGGGTTCGCCCGGTCCCGCTTAAGGGAAAAGTTGGAGATGGAAAGGCTCGGCTTGGTTTGCCATGGCGACCTTGGGTGGTTTCCCTTTTTATAAATCAGCCTTCCTCTAAACCAGGGGTAGGCAACCTTGGCTCTTTTATGACTGGTGGACGTTAGCTCCCAGAATTCCTCAGCCAGCATGGGGGAACTATGGCCCCTTCATGACTGGTGGACTTCAACTCCCAGAATTCCTGAGCCAGCATGGGGGAACTATGGCCCCCTCATGACTCGTGGACTTCAACTCCCAGAATTCCTGAGCCAGCATGGGGGAAACTTTGGCCCCCTCATGACTGGTGGACTTCAACTCCCAGAATTCCTGAGCCAGCATGGGGGAACTATGGCCCCCTCATGACTCGTGGACTTCAACTCCCAGAATTCCTGAGCCAGCATGGCTCAGCTTGGAAACCTCTCCCTTTCCCCTCAGCATGGCTGGCTCAGGAATTCTGGGAGTTGAAGTCCACCAGTCATAAAAGAGCCAAGGTTGCCTACCCCTGCTCTAAACCAAGAAATCCATAAAGCCATTTCCATGGTTTGAAAATGCTTCTGTAGCCAGGCAGCTCTATTCTCCACTTCTTCCTCCAGGCTGGGAGAGAATAGGAAAAGAGACAAGAACTGAGGGAGGGAGGGAGGGAAGGGAAGGGAAGTGAAGGGAAGGGAGGAAAGAAGGAAGGAAGGAAGGAAGGAGTTGGTTAGGATTGGGAGGGAGGAAGGAAGGAAGGAGTGGGTTAGGATAGGGAGGGAGGAGTGGGTTAGTATGGGGAAGGAAGGGGAAGAAGGAAGGAGAAGGAAGGAAAGAAATTGGAAGGGAGAGAGGAAGAAGGAAGGAGGGAGGAAAGAAGGCAAAAAGTGACAGGAAGGAAGAGAGAGAAAGGAAGTTCTCTACATCTTAAGTGCTGTATATTCTTACAGTGCTTTTTAGTGAATTGTGCTTGCTTCCGTTCTACTATGGTCTTAGCCAACTAGTGGATTTACAGACATTGGAGAGTTTCGTCTCCGTTCGTCCTTCTCTAATTTACACACACGTTACTTTCCTCTACGCCACATGCTCCTTCATTCATGTGCAGCTTAAAAACCCTTTCAAGTTCCTTTTCACTTAGAAAAGAGGAGGGGAAGAGAGATCAATGACTCTTGCCTGAGCCTCTGGGAAGTCCAGTTTGGGGGAATCTTGTCTTTGATTTAATGGGTGCCGTCCAAGTGACAGCAGTCTTTAAATTAGGGAGTAGAGCACTTCTCCGTACGGGAGGCCTTGAGCAGAGGCTGGAGGGCCGTTTGGGAAAGGATGCCCTGGAAGGAAATGCTGGTGGGTAGGCTTGGCTTGCTCTGTTCCATGGCTGTCAAAAAGGATCTTGGAGAAAAGTCAGAGCTGAAGAACTGAAGCTAAAAATCAAAGTTCCTTAAGCCGCCAGACCCTGTTCGGGCGCGCCCTTGGGTGGGTGAATGGACACTTGGAATCCTGCATCCAGTTTTGGTCACCATGATGTAAAAAAGACGTTGAGACTCTCTAGAAAGAGTACAGAGAAGAGCAACAAAGATGATCAGGGGACTGGAGGCTAAAACATACAAGGAACAGTTGCTGGAATTGGGAATGTCCAGTTTAACGAAGAGAAGGACAAGGGGGGACAGGATAGCAGCCTTCCAGTATCTCAGGGGCTGCCCCAAAGAAGAGGGAGTCAAGCTATTCTCCAAAGCACCTGAAGGCAAGACAAGAAGCCACGGATGGAAACTCATCAAGGAGAGAAGCAACCTGGAACTAAGGAGAAACTTCCTGACAGTGAGAACAATTAACCAGTGGAACAACCTGCCTCCAGAAGCGGTGAATGCTCCAACACTGGA